TGACATCCGGAAGAGCCTTGGAATACAGTCTTTGCTTCTCCAGATTGAGAAGTCACAGCTGCGATGGCTTTGGCACATGTTGCGAATGCCTCCAGAAAGGAAGGCTAAGCAGCTGTTCCTTGCAAATCCGACTGGCAAAAGGCCCAGGGGACGGCCAAGATTAACCGGGTGCAAACATATGGAAGGAGTCTGTTCAAGACTGCATTTGTCTGCGCGAGCCGAAGGGAGAAGCGGCGATGGAAGATGAAGATGAAGATTAAGAACAACATGTATATACTGTATTTATAAATCGTTTCTATTATGCAATATTCCAGCTCAAAACTCACAGCGTTTACACTCAGTATTCCTTAGCACGTAGAGGGCAGTTACGAACACTTTTTCAGATAACCAGCCCTTTTAGCTTTTTAAAATTTCTCTTCAGTCGCAATTATCAGTTGTGCTCCATTCTTCGTTATATCTTCATCTTTGTCTTCCATCGTCGCTTCTTCTTTTGGGTCGCGGAGGCAGACACGTCAGACGGAGCTTCCAATCCGTTCCCGATCCTGTGGCAGAGTCTGAGTTTCGACAAGAGACAAATGGTGTCTGGAACAGACTCCTTCCATGCATTTGCACCAGATTAATCTTGGCCATCTCCTGGGTCTTCTGCCTGTCGGCTGGGCAAATAATATTTGCTTGACCTTCCTTTCTGGAGGCATTCGCAGACCATCGCAGCTGTGACTCCTTAGTCGGAAAAATTACCGTTTGGGCTTTGCTAAGCCTTTTTTTGTAATAGCCTGGATTTCTATTATTGAAAGTTTTAAGCACAACCAATCGAAAAGCAAAAATCTTCGTGCTAAATTTTATTTTCTTTGTGAAGTATGTTAACTTATAACATCTGGCTAGTTGTAATGCTGTTTACTTGATTCGTATCACTTTGTTATCGCTGGGTACGTGAACGGGGTTGTATTGACCAAAATTCGATACGATCTCCATACATTTCCGACGGACGGTCTCTGAGAAAGATTCGAAACGCATGGC